GTAGATCTCAGGCTTACTGGGTTTTGTGGGAAAACTGTGAAGTACATGAGAGGCCGGTTTGGTAACGCCAGCTGTTACTGCCAACTATGGTTTATTGTAAGACCTATGGACACACAAGGCATACTGATGTACTGAAAATCAACTTTCTCTACAACGATCTGTTGATGTTAAGAACCAAAAGTAAAAGTGTCCTACTATGTGCATACACATTTGCATGACAACACTTCTAATGCTTCATTTTTGTCACTTCCCTGTGAGAGTACAGACATACTGCATCATTCTTCATTTACATTTTCCACGTACTATACACTGGGGAAGCACAATGATGTCGACATCATTCATCAGCCGATGAAGCCTCTAAAATGAAATATCAGCATCGGCCCAAAGTGAACACTAACAGGTAGATTTATGGTTTTGTTTGAAAATGCTACCTGAAAATAAACGTGGTGCATTTTATATGTAAATTAAAGTTGTTTTCCTTATTTTGCATAGCAAATGAGAACATTTGAAAAGCACTGTATTTTATGTGTGCACCTGCCAGCGGACTGTCACAGTCAGAGTAGACATAATATGTTAACTCTACTACAGGAGAGACTGGATGTTCTCCGCAATCAGGTGGATAAAATATGTGCATATATTGGCATCGGACAAAATGAGTCTGAAAAAAATCTGCATATCTGCAAAAATTTCATAGAGTGCGTCCTTACTATAGACATCCATAACATGTAAGGTGTTTCACTCAAATGTGAGGTTGTAGTTCTGTCAGATGAGACAAAATAAGATAATTTCCGTGTGTTAAGAGCAACAGAAATATACAAGAAGCACTGTAAAAGATCTACATGAAAATATACCTTCAAATAAGAAAAAGAACAAATCTGTAATGACCTTACATGTAGTGCAAATTGGCATGATTAAGATCGACTACGCAAATGTGGAAAGTAATAGCATGTTCAGAGTATGTATGTAAATATAAATTAACTAACTTGTAAGTGTTAAAGTGAGGTATAGAAGACAAATGGTAACACAAAGCTGTTACATGCATCATGTTTAAACAAGTTGGTAAAATGCCAAAATGAAAAAAAAAAGATGTCTCTATCCACATGATTTGACTAAAATGTTTGTTTTTAAAGTGAAGTTATTGATCATTTGACAGAAACGTTGCTTTAATGCACAAGTGAGACTTATTTAGAGGCAGGTAGAAGTCTTACGGGGAAGTCTGGCCAAACTGGCAGCATAAAAATGTTGCAACCATTAAAAGACAACTTCCAAGAGCAAGGAGAGGAGACAATTCAGTTAAGATGCATGAGCTGGAGTAACAGATGTTCATGTTGTGTGTGTGTGTGTGTGTGTGTGTGTGTGTGTGTGTGTGTGTGTGTGATCTATAAGACTGCAACTGCATTATTTAAACTTCCACAGTCTAAGTTAGATCCTCAAGCCCTGTTGGCTGCATAAAAACAATTCATTTTCTTCCTTAATTAAATAACTTTAAAATCCCCACAGGGTCATTTTAGACCAGCTGAAAATGAGCTATTGCCAGACAGTAAAATCTAATCAGAACTATTTATATAGCACGAAGTCAGGAGGAGCTTCACATCCTTAGACCTTCAGTTCTGATAAAATCCCATCCTTCAGCCACCCAGACCCCACATTGAAATCTATAATCCAAAACAAATGATATGTTTTAACTAGCCACTAGTTTCTAAACTCCTGCAGCCGACAGACCACCCTGCTGACCACACCGACTCTGTGGTCAAAGGGCTTGTACACTCTGGTGTGAAGTCTCCGACACGAGGGAAGTCATTAGTCTTCATTAGCAACTTCCAGGAGTTTCTTATGAAGTGCTGTGAAGTTGTCATTTGCCCCCTTTGCCAGGCAAGCTAGATGTGAGGTTTGTTTTCTTATGTGGTGGACCAAATGTGAGCTGAGCCGGCCCCTAGTTTCTGCATATGAGATCATGGTCACTCTGGAGCCAAGGCAGGGATAGCAAAGAGGAAACTGAAACAGATTTTTACAGATACGGGGTTCGTTTTTGCTGATCTTTGCAACTGGTAAAGAAAATTGCTGAATGTGCCCTCATCCCAATAAAATCTAACTCACCAGCTCTATCTTCCTGTTGAGAACATACACTACATACTTCTGCTGCATCATTTGTGCATTAAATTCACTGATGCCCCACTGCTTCTCGCAGTCTGTAAAGTAAAATTATAGGCAACCTGTTGTTAGCTAAAGGCATTTCTCCTGCCATGTGATATTATCTCATCTCCTGCGGCATCGTGCTGCTTGCAGCCATGGGCCCTGCTATCTCTACGAACCCCTCAAAGTGGCCAATTAAGCATCAAAAGGGCATGCTGCATGGCTAATGTGGGCGAAAGGTGTGAGATTTCTCGTCAGTCCACTCCAGGGGCTCTTTATTGGGCTGCTAGAGAGCCGTCTGATCCCTGGGCCCTGGCTGTATATTGGCAGCTGTTAACTGCCGAGCGCAGGGGGATCTGTGCAGTTAAAGCAAATGGCCAAAGGCTGACACCTGGGAGGTAGAACACCAATGCCGAAGGTGATCTGGGAGAAGACGCAGGGAGGAGAGCCACAGTGGAATCAGACTTCAGATGTGGGGATTCAGGGGAAGACTCGGCTATTTATATGTTTTTGTGTTGTAATTTTTATTTTTTTTCGTCAAGTGAGACTGCTGCTGTCACCTGTGAACACTCGCCAGTAAAAAGCTACATTCACACATATATTAAATGAAATCCTCCAGGAGCAGGCCCCCTATCAGTCTTCTCCAGACGACCTCCCTAATGTGCCATCCAGAGCGAGTCGCCCCCAGGCAGGCTGTTGCATAAGGCAGCACTCTCTGTCCCTGGCTTTTGTCCCCCTGGCCGTGTACTAAGGCCTCTACCAGTCACACCTGTCACCTCCGACCTACCGTGTAATGGGATTGACACCGCCGCTGCTGAAATGTACACCTCTGCTCTGACACTGACTCACTCTCCGCCGCTAAAGCTGAAGAGATCTGTGGAGAATTTTAATTTCTCGAAGGCATCTTGTTCCCAAACACCCCAAAAACCAGTAGCATGACCTCTCCGCTTTGTGAAACAGTTTAAATGTATCCACGCGCAGGCCCTAGAGGGGGTGGCTGAGGGGAGCGACACTGAAACCGTGATTACTAACTCCTCGACAACAATTGGTCTCACATAAGGAGGATAAAAACACATCACACTTCCTCAAGGCCAATGTTGTGCCACAGGAGTGAAGAGTGTGTGTTTGTGTGTGTGTGTGTGGGGGGGGTCCTACAGATGAGCATGATCCAACATAGATCTCTGCATCTTTAAGTGCATCATTACAAGCGGGATGTTATCTTTTTTATTCTCCATCGACCCGGCACAAGAGCCCTAAACAAGCTGGTCAATACTTTCACAGGAGAGACTTTTTCACACCTCTTTAAAGTTCACTTAACTGCTGATCCTACAAAGTGCTGCACTGTCTTACAGACTGTAAAGCCATCTCTGCGCTTCACGCGTTGCTTTTAAGAGTCATTCATACGCTACACATGGTTTGGTATCTGACTCATTCTCCACACAGTTACACAAAAGCATCCTTTGTGCATTGGTGTAAAGGAGCTGCGCCTACAGAAGGCATTGTATGCAGCACGCAGAATACAATTAGAAACCAAAGTGGAAGTGGTGTGTCTTTGCTAGAAAAGAGGCTGAATGTAGATGTGAAAATCACCGCAATTCAAATTTTCATGTCAGTGGAAACAAGTGGGGGAACTGCGGTTTGTTTTTTTTTCTCCCCCCCTCTATGCTAACGCCTGCAGTGTTTCGCATTTGTTTTCCCTTGCAGTAACGTGGTGCACTACAGGCGGACACAGGCCCATGGATGGTGACATCCATGGATTCTGCGTGGACGTGAACGGCGGGCTCGTACTTGTGGCAGGTCTTCATTCTGCAACCCCTCCTGTCGCATTCAGGCCTGACTTGGGCTTGTGGTGCTAACTGACTGTTAATTGCCTGCCCATACACAGTGCTTTCTCCACATGCAGAAAACCAGTTCCTTCAAGGGAAACCTGCCTAATGAGATTATCTATCAGAGCGTGGGTCTGTCTAGACACCCCCAATACACAACTCACCCCTCCTCGCACTGGCAGTCCTCGCAGACTGCAGAAGGATGCCCTCAGGTAAAAGTTACCTGCAGAAAGAGTGCATGTTATCATCACACCATTATGGGTTTACACAGAGGTTCCCTCCCACTGAGTAATTTCTTGAATGGAGAAAGTCCAGGATGAAGAACATTTTAAAGGTGATCATATGAAAATCGTTTTATTCACTTTCAGATGTTCAATGTATTGAAAATGGTTTCACACACAGACGATGCATTAACTCATTTAAATGTACCTTCACTGTTCTTCTCTCAGTTGTGCCAAATGAATCACACAGGCTGTTTACTGCATTGCACAAACACACTAAATGGCATTTTCGTGCGTGGTTATGTGTGTGTGAATGATATTTACACAGATTGTGGTGCCGCTGCCAGATCTGATCTGCAGCAGGGAAGTGCATCCATATTTGTTTTAAAGTCTCTTAGCAGTTAATAAAGATGCGTTTCCTCCGTCCCCCTTCCTGTGGGGATGGTATCAAGGCTCTGTTAAGTCTCTTTGATTTCCAGCGCCCTCCAATCACAGTGGGACACCAGCTCAGCACAGTGCCACTTCAAAGCCTGGGAATGGCCCTCTTGGCCCCACCCACACCAGGGCTCCCCTTAAAAGTCATGGTCACCTCTCCTGCAGGACTCAGCACCTCTGAAATATCTGCTGTAACAAGACTGACTGACCTTCTGACTTCTTCAGCTGCTGGATTTTGCTTTCTTATATGAGACAGGAGACGAAGGAGGCAGAACAGAGCTGAAGGCACGCTTTGGATATTGGTGACACTTGGATTGTTTATTGGCCTCTTGTGCAAAAACCTTTTCAAGCTTTTCAGTAGTGCTGCTGCTGCTGAACCTGAAGAATGCAGTCCATCAGAGGTGAGTGCTAACAGACTTTTACTGGACTTGCAGAAAGCTTTTCAATTGGTATCTTCTAATTTTCCCTGCAAGTTTTATCTTCATTGCCCTGTTTGACAGCGAACGTTGGTAAAGCACGGCTATAATAAATCTTATTCCCTTCCAGACTTAAAGTCCAACTTCAGCGGCCCTCCTCCCTCCTCCATGGCTGCTGGCCCTGATGCTTACCTTCAGGGCAACATCAGGATGACTCTGGAGGACCCAGAACTCTGGAAGACATTCCATGAAATAGGAACAGAGATGATCATCACTAAACCGGGCCGGTAAGACAGCAGAACATTAGATTCAGTGCAAAATGTTTGGAAAGCAGAATCTTTTGTTGCTTAGAAGTAATTTTTCTCAATTGTGTTCTCTTCTGTTTTCCAGGAGGATGTTCCCACACTGTAAAGTCAATCTATCCGGCCTTATTCCATGTGCCAAATACATTTTATTGGTTGATATGGTTCCTGAGGATGGTTTCAGGTATAAGGTAAATGTTTTTTTCCTTGACTCATGAGTGAGTCTTGAAATCAGCTTTATTCACTGTGGAAAGTTAAATTCCTTTTACTTTCAAACAATGAAAAGTAACCTTGACTTCCCACAGCCGCGGCTTTAGCTGTAGATGTCCCTAAGTTGATTCCAGTATCCCCAGACAAGACACCCCCTGTTTATCACCCCCTCCCTTCTCCTGACATTGTAGATCAAAGGGTGCTATCTCTTCCTGTTTGTCTATCCCCTGCTGGGAGCCCACTGTACTACCCCCTATCTCCGTGGGTGGTACTGGCCAGCCGTCACTCTCCACTCTGTCGTGGGAAGAAGATGAAGATTCTCCTGTAAATCACCTACCTCTAAGAGAGGCTGACAAACTATGTCTCCTTCCTTACAGTGGAATAAAGAGAAATGGGAGGTGGCAGGAAAAGCGGAGCCTCAACCTCCCTGCAGGACTTACCTCCACCCAGACTCTCCAGCTCCGGGGAGCCACTGGATGAAGCAGTCCGTCTCCTTCCTCAAGCTCAAGCTCACCAACAACACGCTCGACCAGCACGGCCATGTAGGTAGAAGTGAAAATGTGGTGCTAAACAAATTTTAAAATGACATCCATGAGATGTTTTTTTAAGGTTGTTGGAGAGTTGATGTTCTTACATTGTATGTTTAAACTTATCATATACCTTCCCTCTTTCTGCAGATCATTTTGCACTCCATGCATCGCTACCACCCGCGCTTCCACATTGTCCAGGCAGACGACCTGTTCAGTGTCCGCTGGAGTGTTTTCCAGACTTTCACCTTCCCTGAAACTTCCTTCACTGCAGTCACTGCCTACCAGAACACCAAGGTGGGCTCCAAATAAACCAGGACTAACTTCTGCTCAGCACAAAACATATTCCACACAAAGGCTTTACCTGAACTCATGTCCCTGTTCCTGCAGATCACAAAGTTGAAGATCGATCACAACCCGTTTGCAAAAGGTTTCCGGGATGAAGGCACAAATAAAAAAAGGTGGGTTTCACAGGGCACTCCACTGGAGTATATTGCGTTAAAGATACTGCTTGTAGTACTGTTTTAATGAAAATCATGTTCCCCAGCAGGCGTGCCAACAAGAACCCAGCATGTCATGACAAAAGGTCCAAGATGTCAGATATTTTAAAAAAGGACTCTGAAGAGGACAGTCCACCAGGTACTGCTGCAGGACTCTCTGTTCAGGTCCTTCTCTCTTGTCTTATACTCATATGTTTAACTGATGCATTGTGCCTTCTCAGATTTCTGCCAGTCATCGTTTGATGGTTACGACGGAGAGGAAGGAGAGCTGCCCAAAAGGAAAGATGATGAGTCCGTCAAAGAGGAGCGTTACTCGCCCTGGGGAGCTGAGAGGGAGCAGAGTGTGAGGACGGACTCTCCTGCAGGGGCAGATACAAGAGATATGTACAGCACCGAGCAGCTGGTTCCTGCTCCAGCTTCCTACCAGCCGTACAGGTGAACACTGCTGAATTTATGCAACGAATAGGTTATTAATGTTGTGATGAACAGAATCCTGACTGCCTTCCTTTTGCTCTCCAGGTTCCACGAGTACGGAAAGTCTCCATCGCCTTCCTCCAGCGTTGGCAGCAGCAACAGTGGATCAGGGTCCAGGGTCCCTGACGTTGCCACCGTTCCAGATCACGACTCATCAAAGCCTCGCACACAAGAGGTTGGACCTTCCCACTGCACGCCCCAGCACCTCCCCGGGCCTCAGGACTACACCGGGGTGCTCAACATGACCATGGCCCAGGCCGGCAAGCCTGGAGTGATCGGCCACCATATCTACAGCCCATACGGTGCAGAGCAGCCCCTGGGTCAGTGGAGTGGCCCCAGTCCTGCCCAGTACCCCCCTCCCCACCACCTGACCGCCGACTACCCCACGCAGGCCGTGCACCATGGCTATCACCATGGCAACGTGGCCGAGTGGAGCCAGTACCCGCTGTTTTCTTATTCCTGCTGGTGAAGGGATCTTCAGTGTTAACTGAGCGAGAGTGACTTTACCGACACCGTTGCTGCCATCTTGCCAGAAAGCTGATCCTGTGCTCACAGCTATAAGAATGCATGTCCAAACAAGGCTAGGGGCCAGACGCCTGCAACAAGAATGAAAAACTGAGAAGAGGAAAGAGGTTTAAGGAGCTGCCTGTCGAGGTCTCCTGCTCAGACTTGCAGGATTCAGGCTCCAGTTTTGCTGAGTGCAAATGAAAGTGTCCTACGCCATGCTGGTTGATTGTTTTATTATTTGTCTATTTATTTTGTAGTTCATTTTCCAGTGTAAATAATATTTTTGTAAAAAATAAATAAATAAATAAATGAAAGGAAAGTAAGAAAAGTAAAACATGAGTGTGCAATTATGTCTGTCTTTAAATTGTGATGTGATTTGAAAATAAAAACCTAATTGGAACATGATTTGATGTTTTGTGTGTGACAATACATTTTTTCCATCATTTAATAATATGATTTAGTTCAAGAACATAAACTCAAAATGTAAAGTACATTGATAAAAGACCAACCACACCTGGCAATAAATAATGTTTGACCTACTTTGACCTAAACTCTTTCAACAGTTACTCACTTTGCTACATTCAATCAAATTGTGATTCTCTTCTGTCTTTACATTTGATTTGTGCTCAGGCCTTTCTAGTTTGCAGTGACCTTGTAAATCAGCTTGTCTGTGACTTTAGCTTTCATCCACTGGATGTTCTGCATACATCAAGTTTCAAGGACTATTTCATGTAAGTGTCTTTGTCAGCGGGTGCACATCTGCATGTTTTATACCTGGTCACCCCTGATAAGCAGCACACCCTTTGGTGCTGTTTGTTTGTATTTCCTCTTTGTTGATCTAATGAGCACCACTCCGTAGTTTCGACAGGCCCAGCATGCTTTAAAGACACTGTATTACTGTGACTCCGGCTCACCTGCTGAGGTTTACCCACCAGCACATAAAGCATCGCACGGCCCTCGTTCTCCATGTCAATGAGCCTTGAAAAGCATGAAAATGGGGGCTGTTGGCTCCTTTTCACTACTGAAAAACACAAGCCGGGCCCATCGCCTCCGCCCTGAGTGGATATGAGCTGCTAATGACGGCTGTAAAACCCAGAGGGGGAGGGAGGAGAGGGAGGTCGTCCTTCAGGAACAGTGCTGCTGCAGTTTTATTCACTGCAATTCATTATCTTTCTGAGTCAGTACGTCCAACCTCAGACTTCCCCAGCCGCCTGTTGCACACAGTTCACTTTAATTAGGACGAGGAAAGGCTGATCTTTACAGAAACCTGCACCGCCGGGTGAGCAGGTCAGAGTGATGAAGTTCAAACTCGGAGACAATATGAGATGATATTTCCCAGATGCCAGCTTTTTGATTAAACTCAGTAAATATAAGATTTGGATCTGGGGAAATAAGACGATAAAGTGGTTTTGCCACACGGCATTGTTTGGGATCATTCATAATCATACATAAGAGGCCGTTTGTCTCAAAGCCTTTAATGCAGATAATCTGCGCTTTCAGACTCACAAAATATTTATGTGTACAGTTTTATGGCAATCTATGAGATATCATCACTGCACCCGATATATGGCATTTGGTGGGACAGAACAACTGAAAATGTATTTTAAGAAGTGTCTTGATTTGATTAGATACAACATGAATGTGAATGCGATAAAAATGTGCCTTTATTCACAACATTTGTATTAATACACATGTAGTGTGCTCTTGTGTTTGTAATTTATTGTGTTAATATTGTGCTTGTCTGTTCTCTGTGTATACCTTCAAGTGACATATAGTTTAGAATAATGTGAAATGTTGAAACAAAAAAGGATTTTAGTAGAAACTGCAGAAAAGTCAGAGGCAGAATTGTAATTCAAGGAAGCACAAAACTTTTGTCAGTCTTATTAATTTAGAGGGAAAGTCTGAAAGCTTCAAAAGAAAGTCATGTGAATGAATAAAGTAGAAAAATGTTAAATTTAATCTGATTATGAGGCAAAGCCTCAATAGATCAAAACTGTGTCAAAGGGTTTCAGTAATGAAACATGCATACTTATTAAAAATGTGTATTATTATTTAAACAAGACACAAAGAAGGGTTGTTTGAATAATCATTATTATATGCTGTATATTGTGTGTTTTGTAAAATTGTACATATTGTGAAAATAACAGCAAATAGCTGTAAAATATTTAATTTTTTATTTAAATACCATACAGCTGTGTAATTTTATGGTCACACACTGTAAAACAAAAAACAACAAACTACTATTTGTGAAAATACTGATTATTTACAATACTAGCCAATATAACCTGTTTTGTTGTTTTAATTGTATTTTTTCTGATTTAAATACTGTAAAAAATTGTGTAATTTTATAGTCAAACATGTAAGAGAGCAAAGTACCTTTTGTAAAAATACAGATTTTTGATGCAGGCATTATTTGCAGTTTTGGATTGATTTTTTTAGGGTAAATATGCTAATTAGTATTTTTTTCCCCCAAAGATTTTACTGGTTGTTATTTGCAATTTGGCAAAACATGGACGATCTGGAAAATAATAGTAAATTGATGAAAAGGTTAAAGTTAAAAACCACTAACAGTTTAACAGTGTGCTGATGCCAAACATGTCATCTTGGTTACAACCTTTACTAAATACCTAAACTGTATTGTAATTTAAAAACAACGCTACTTTATGTCTCTTGTTGGTCACTGAGTGCAGCGACTGGTCTCATCAATAGATGTCCAGGAGGAATATCGCCTTTTACACAGTGAAAAGGAAAGTTTTATTGTGACTGGTTCTCCATTCATGGCTGACGTTTTTTTGTTCTCTATTGATTCCCATTGAACTCCTCTGCTCCAGCTCAGCGGGAGAAACGAGAATAAGAGTAGGCACTTAGTAAAATCCCCTCGGCTCACACATCCTCAACTCCACTGGGTTTAATCAGCAGAGCAGCACATCAGTGGCAAATGTGGCCTTTTAATTGCTTTGATAATGGTCGAGAAAAGAGCAGCAGATCGACCCACACTGAGATGTTTGACGTGGTTAAGTGCATGACATATGTCTTAAGTGCCCCCCAGGTGGTACTAGAGCTTTAGAATATAAAGAGTGATGCATAAACACAACAGATTGTTGATCCTGGATGTCCAGCGCTGGTGTCAGCAGATCCTAGCAGACAACTTGCTGGCACGACAGTGTGAACGGGGAGGGGAGGGCCACTCACTTAGAGCCGGTAGGGGGTAACAGATGTAGATGAAACAGCCTCAGAGAGGAAAGCAGCAGTCAGCCTTCATAAAGCTGATGGAGTCTAGAGCCAAATGGAGAGGAACTGGGAGAGACTGGGTGGAATAAAAGACACAAGGCAGCGAGCACCGCTGTCAGGAGGTCAAACAGGGAGGACAACCAGCTGTGGAGATTCCTCGTTGCATTTATAAATGTTGAACTAAACCAAAATGCTCTGAGAAAACACTTTTTAAAGCTGTACTGAGTTCATGAGTCACAGCCTAAATACACAATGACAGAAGAAAAAAAAAGCTTATTTGTTAATATTTGGTCAATACCTTGTGCAAGATTTATTTTATGGAAGTTACAATACTTATACTTAAAGTAATTTCTTACTATTTTGTCTTGATTCTCCATATAATTGGATCTACATTACATAGTTCTTTCCAAGAAACGTTCAGGAAGTTATTGCCATGTCATTATCCAACCTCAAGTATAAATGGAGCCTTCAGCTTCATGCTGCCAGGAATGATGGAGAAATACCGTCATTTTGTTAGCCTGAACGCAGTCCAGTTTTAAATAATAAATACTCAGCATGAGTTCTCACTGAAAAGTAGCGCTCCCCCTGGACTGATAAATTCCTACTCACGTGCACACATGACAACAATTATATATTACTATGTTTATTCAATTTCAAAGCTTAGCTCATGAATCAGATACTAATGTAATTTTGCATAATGTTGTGAGACAGTGTTTCCACAACACTGCTTTCCTTCAAGACTTAACTGTCATCACATGAACAAGAAAAGTATACTTTAAATTAGACTTGGATGCATAGCTGAGGAATTGTTATTTAACCTACTTTCTACATTAAACAGCGTTAACAATGGATTGAGGCGAGGGGGGAAAAAACACAGCACAGAGCAAAACCTGACTTACAAACAGAAATAACGTGAAAAGAACCTCCATTTGGACACTGAATAAATCATACAGAATGCAAGATCAATGAAAGGACACACTCATAAAAAAACAACAATGATGGTTTGGGTTTCATTACACAGATATCAAGACTCGATGGTACCACCAGAGCCTCATCATTCAGGTACAAACTCACCAATTCAACAGGGTCTTTTAAAGCCTTTTATGATATAAGAGGCACAATACCTAAGGCTCACCTCCATCTAAACACACACTGGTAACATAAAAAAAAACAGGTTCAAGATGTCACCACAAAACAAGGCACAATGCTTCAGTTTAACATTTTGATTTCAGTAGTCTGGATGTGATGATAACTTCATAGTAGAACCTGGCAATAATCAGTAGCGGAGTTGGAGATGTGATGTATAGATTTTAATTCTTTAAAAAGTCAACATAAGTGTTGTTTCTTTAGAAACTGACAGTGTAGCTGACTAATAGTAAGAGCTGCCTATGAAAGTCTTAAGTTTAAACTCAATGTTCAATGATCTTCTGTCAGGAAGTCCTTAAAGGATAAGTCAAGGCGGCTGAATGTGCTCCAGACTACCATGTTTTTGCATAGGCAGTAGTCTTCAGTGCTTCACTTAACTCGAAGATAGAAAGATTCTCTCCAAAATGAACAACACAGGAGCAGCTACAGCATCAGGAAATAAAGAGGGATCGGCGAAACACAGTAGCAGTAGCATTTGGCGAGGCAGGCTGGGAGGCTGCAGGCAGGGAATCCCGAAACGAGTGTGAGTTCCTAAGATCAGATCGGAGAGGTAACAAAAAAAAAAATGTGCAAAGGTCCTGAATGACACTTTGGTTCAGAGGCACTCAAAGTGGTCAACATGCAAAAAGGACATGATGCTGCTATAAGCAAAAGATATCCTTATTGTACTTAAAAATCAACATGCTGAATGAGAAAAGTGCACGACAGTCTGCAGTGCTGATGGATGCAGCTCAACACTGCTGCTTCAGTCCTCACTAGAGTCCTCGGAGTTGTCCATGTCCACGTCTTTCCACGCGGCCTTGGTGCGCTGCTCCCAGTTCCTGGCCTGAGCAATCACAGAGGGCGGCATGAGCGCCACACAGGCCGCAAGGCCAGAGACACGCTCCTTAAACTCTGTGTCATTTTCCCACTCGTCTGTATCGGTGTGGTACACGTGAACGTATTTCATCCTGTTGCCTTTGTCGTGAGAGCGTCCTCCCAGGACATATATGCGACTGTCCAGCACTGCTATGCCGGGTTCTCCATGTCCAGCAGGGAGAGGAGCAATTAGAGACCATGAGTTGGCTGCAGGGTCGAAGCATGCCACCTGAAAACAAAAGGAAACTCATTACTTTTCATTTCATACAAGTTCTGTCCAAACATCAATGACCCCTGTCAAAACATGCCACTGTGGCTTGTATGGATGTCAACCTAATTAACTCATTAAGTCAAACTGTCTGTTTAGCTCACAATGACCTTCATTAGAATGTAAAAGCTGGACTTAATAGACAATGAAATATTTTCTCATTTAAATTTCTATGACAGAACAGAGTGAGGTGAGATCCAGAAAGTGGTGGAGAAAAAAAAAAACAGCCACATACAGAGGCAAAAAAAAGAAATGAAAACACAAAGAAAGAAAGGAAAAAAAATGCATTTTAACCCTCTGCACAGTGTCAGCAGGTTTGAAAGGCATTTCATCTTGAAGACATTTCCAAAATTACAACATGTATCAAAGCCAGAAACTGTAAAAACATAAAGAATCAATGGATTTTCATTTTTTTTCAGTTCTTGAACTACTTATTTATGATGTGTGTGAAACTGTCCAGAATCTACACATAGAATTGTGGTATTTCATCAAAATTACTTTATTCTACATGTCGCATCTAAAAATTTACCAAGTGTTCACAACAACCAGATTCTATAAAAAACAAAAAAATTCCTCCAGAGTAACAGTCGTGTGACAAACATTCAGGGACTTTCTAGCTGAACTGGGCTAAACTATGGGCTGTGTTTACACGGAGCTGACAGGAAACAATGACAGAAATAAGCAGTTTAATAACCATAGTATGTAAAGTTACCATTTCCCCCCCAGTAACAATAACACCTGCAGGCACACTGAAAAATCTTGTGTATGTTCATTCCATTTTTCAGCTTTTGTAAAATAAAGAATTAATAAAACAACAGCTTTAATGTAATTATTTTTCAGGATTTATGCCATTATAACCTTGTTATACTAAATAAAAGGTATTTTTGAGTTCCCTCTGCATTTAGCTGTGGTTGTGCTGCTTCTATAGAGGTGCAGGACTTCAGCCACAGTGAGTACAAATGTGAAAGGTGCAAATAAAGAAACTGTTTGGAGTTCAGAGGGTTAAATTGTATGAGGCTAATGTTTACCAGCGTCCACACTGCCTTCATTGTGTGACAATAAACAGCAGTGACGACTCGTGACACCATACCTTGAGGACATCACGCCGATATCCACGCTCATCATTACTTCCCCCAATAACATACACGTGTCCATTAACAGCGGCCATGCCGTGCCACGCCCTCTCCACTGGGCCCTCTGCACACCCCGTCCACTGATTGGCTGCAGGGTCAAAACAGTAGGTCTCTCTGAGGTACGCCATTCCTCTGCGGCCGCATGTTATATAAATTTTCCCATCCACCACTGCTCCAGCATGGGCATACACCTAGAGAGAAAGTTAGACTGGAGTTAAAGGAAATTCAAGTAAAGGGGAATACTGGTTGTACAGCAGGAAAGCCCCTTTAATAACACAGAGGTGAGTAAGTAGCACCATCATGTGGATGGTTCAAGTATCACATGCACTTCTCTTTCATCCTTCGCCTCTTAAATGTCATACCTCTCTCTTTAGAGGTGACACAAATTCCCACGTGTTGCTTTGTGGGTCGTAGCGCTCCACCGAGTCCAGCTCACTGCTGTAGTCTCGCCCTCCGATAGCGTAAATATGGCCACCCACCACACAGACACAGTGGTCGGCATGCTGCTGCTGCAGAGACTGGATGGAGCACCAGCTGTTGTGACGAGGGTCGTATCTGGACAGAGCAGATAAGTTTCAAAACAGTGAAGCAGGAATATTACTCCAGAAATTTAATCAGCAGCAACCACGAGCTCAGTTGGATGCAAAAGAAAATATCTATTGAAACAAACAAGGTCAGTTAAGTACAATTTTTATTTGGCATCTTTTACCATGAAGTCTTTTTCATAGCTGTTCTGGGCTTTTGATCAAATCATATGATTTTCAGCAGCGGATGCAATTTGCCCTGCAGTTATAAAGTAGTTGATTTTCCAATCTTTTTTTTGTTTTTGTCTCTAAGCACTTTCACATCTGCTGGTGAAGATCAAGCAGTATGATGAAACTAATCCTACACCCTGTGGATCACCTAAACTCACATCACATGCAAAGTTTGAGTCCTTCTATTTTGTTAGAATAAATTAATATGAACAGCTCAGGTGTACAAGGTATTTCAACTAAGAATGTTGGATAAAGAGATAGCAAGATTGTCCTCAGAATGGTGTTCATAAAGTACACGTGATCGATGATTTTTTACAGATATGTGACACATTAAATGCACCAAAATCCCTCTTATGTTACATTCATGTCAAATGAGAAAGCCTATCTGCACCAGGTAAACCTCTGTGTTTATTAGCATACTAAATTTGTAAATGTGGTGTCAGTGGCGACACTCCTGCTATGCATTTTAGGTCAACCAACAATGACTGGTTTGCTAAAGACGAGAGCAAGCGAGAGAGTCAGTAACAGCAACTGGAGGAGTATGGCAAGAAAATCTAGAGAGCATTCAAGGTAAGTGACTGATGGTCCAGCTGAGAGAGAAAATCAGCATTCAGAGGAAGGATTCCAGTCTAAAAAAAGGAAGTAATCGATGGCAATGCATACTGTAGGTCATTAGCCTGTATCAACAGTGGTTGTGTAATTACTCTTAATGCCAGAAGGGGCAGAAAAAGGTTCCACACTTCAGGTTTAAATCAATAATCTGAGACAGCTGTAGCACTAAATTAATCACAATATGAACCAACTAAGAGCTTAAGTAGAACAAACATTCTGACAGGATCTGACCTCCAGCAGCGGGTCTCTGCGCGAAATCCACTGGTGTTCTTGTCCCCTCCGATGAGATAAATAAAGTTGTTGAGCACAGCGATGCCCTGGTTGGACATTCGGGGAGCGTAAGCCGCTGTGAGAGTCCTCCATTCGCCCCAGCTAGGGTGGAACACCTGAAACAGGTGCTCGCTGTCTGTGCTGGAGCTGGAAGAGAACATCCCCCCGAATCCCAGGATACAGTGGAAGGTGGACCGCGGCTGGGTGAGAGGACTCTGCAGGACGGGTTGCCAGACCTCCTGCTCATGGTAACGCAGGGCAGCTGAAACCGAATCCTTCAGCGGACACTGGCTCAGTCTGCCGTACAGTCTCTGCAACGCTTGTTTCTCAATCAGGCAAAAACGTACGGCATCGAGCATCTTGAGATTGTCCTTTGGGAGAGAGAGAGACAACAAAATAGGTAACTGCAATTCAGGCCGATCAAGTTTGGACAATGTGTAGGTATCAATAAAGCACAGTAAAACTAAGCAGGCTTGTAATTAGTAACAGTAGTTTTTGTGGATAGAGAAGTACAAAATGCCCACACACCTTCGGACTGACCTGCAAGTAGACCTGGTCAGTTTCCACCTGCTCAGGACTGTAGTGATAGTGAAGTGCTGCCTCATAAACCTCATTCTCACTGCTCACGTGAAGCTCGTCGCTGCTCAGCGCTTTGAAGACTTCATCCTGGGGGAGCTGTCGGTATGCGTCTGTTCGAGACAGAGTCTGAATGTTCCTGAGGATGTAGGACTGGACCCTGGCATTGAGCTGCTGCAGTCCGTACAGATCGGCCAGATTGGTCACCTCTAAGATGTTGCTCTCATCCAACCAGGAGAAAAGAAAATCACAGCAGAAACCAATGACATTCTCAATCTGTAAAACACAAAAGGACACAGATTAGCTGGAATAAAGAAAAGAATTATAAAGAATTTAGTAAAAGAGCAACAAATACCCTACCTGTACCAGCGTGGCAGCTATCAGGACTTCCTGAACACACTCCAGATCTAACTCAATCTCTGAAGTGTAGATGTAGTCGAGTATTTTTTTCATGGCCATGTAGGATACTCCATGAATCGGAATCTCCTCCTGCTGTGTCTCCCGAAGGCCTCCAGCAAACATGCACCTAATGGAGAAGGGTGACACACTATTAAATGGAGTCAACCTGGTTGCCCAGAAGCATTATTACCACATACCATGTAGCCGCAATGACCCCAGTTTAAATCCTGACAGGTACTTTTGCTGCACAATATATGCCTCTCTTCCTCTTTGGGGTTGCTGCCATTTGCTTCAACTACATACATTTCCAAAGGGCTTACGTTAAGCTGAAAAATCACATGAAAAGTACCATGCTGCTTCCAATGCTAAGATTTCTGCACCCATCACCAAACCTTCAGATGCTTTCAACTAAGTCTTCGTTGTTTTCTTTCAGCTGCGTGTACAAAGCACATCCAATCGCATACAGTAACAGCTTAGCTGTAAAGGGATATTGTAAAGTGCTGTATCTTCAGCAGCTTTTAGCATTGTAGTGGGATTACAGGGCTGCTTACCAACAGAAGAGCTCAGAAACCATTTCTGCACTCCTGCACATTAGGCAACAAACCAATATATAGGAGACAGTGATACTATTCCTGTGTGTCACACATACTCAAAGCTGGGTGTGGATACCAGTGATGGTATATGTGACCTATATAATGTGGTCTACAAAAGGTTTATGACAAATGAACAGAAATAAATCAGGAGCAAACACAAACTACAACGTTACCTCAAAAGAGGCCGAAACTCAGTCACTTCACAACAGACTAGTTTAGCAAGCTAAACTCGATCATACGTCAAAATGAGCACATTGTCTGCTGAAGTGCAGCTAAAGCAGCTGTCTGAGGCGCCCATCATGTAGCGCAATGTTACTACGTGTGTCTGTTGGTTTACCAGCATGCACTGTAGCAGAGGAATTATCTTGGCTATTGCATTGTTACTGGTGTTAGTGAGATCTGCACAAGTTGTTAAATAAGGACTCATTACCACAAGTAATAATGGTACTGCAGATGATGTGTGCACGATTATATGACTTGATGTATAACTAATAGATATTTACATAGTTAACTCACAATAATCGATATCCAACTGTCACTACCATAAAATACAATTGTTCTAAATATTCTAATCATATATATACAGTTGAAACTAGAAGTTTACGTACGCTGTATCAAAAGACACAAACTTTTTTTTTCTCACTGTCTGACATTAAATGTGACTAAACTTTTCATGTTTTAGGTCAGTTAGGATTACCAAAATGTTTTCTATTTGCTTAATGCCAGAATAATGAGAGAGAATTTTTTAAATTACTTTCTTCAAAGTCAGATGTTTACATACATTTCCTTAGTATTTAATAGCATTGCCTTCAAACTGTATGACTTGGGTCAAATGTTTTGGGTTTCCTTCCACAAGCTTCTCACAACTGTTGCTGGAATTCTGGCCCATTCCTCATGACAGAACTGGTGTAACTGAGTCAGGTTTGTAAGCTGCTGTGCTCTATACACCTTTTCAGCTCTGCCCACAAATGTTCTACAGGATTGAGATCAGGGCTTTGTGATGGCCACTCCAAAACATTGACTTTGTTGTCCTGAAGTCACCTTGTAACTAATCTGACAGTATGCTGAGGGTCATTGTCCATCTGGAAGACTCATTTGCGCCCAAGCTTTAACTTCCTGGCTGATGTCTTGAGATGTTGCTTCAATATTTCCACATAATGTTCTTTCCTCATCATGTCATCTATTTTGTGAAGTGCACCAGTCCCTCCTGCAGTAAAACACCCCCACAACATGATGCTGCCACCCCCGTACTTCACAGTTGGGATGGTGTTCTCAGGCTTGCAAGCTTCCCCCTTTTTTCCTCCAAATGTAACGATGGTCATTATGGTCAAACAGTTCAGTTTTAGTTTCATCAGACCACAGGATGTTAAAGTCTTTGTCTCTGTTTGCATTTGCAAAGTGAAGGCAATTGGAGGCATAGTCACCTTAGTGTATGTAAACTTCTGACTTTGAAGAAAGTAATAAAAAATGTGTCATTATTCTCTCTCTCATTGTTCTGGCAATTAGCAAATAGAAATCATTTTGGTAATCCTAACTGACTTAAACAGGAAAAGTTAAGTCACATTTAATGTCAGACAGTGAGAAGAAAAAAAGGTTTTATGTCTTTTCATACAGTGTATGTAAACTTCTGGTTTCAACTGTATATACTGTGAGGCTGAATGACATCCAAAAACATTCATCTTGCAATTATTTTGACAAATACTGTGGTAGCAATATGAGTCCCCATATTTGCGGAATGGTAATTTTTGCATTGCTTTTCCACTGAAACAAATATTAAAATGACAGATTTTTAAAGCAATCTGTACAAAACAAGCATGTTCCCTTATGTCTGGAGAATAGAAATGTATATTTTTACATATACATTTGTATGCTGCAGGCATCTCTGTAGCACCATAATGCTTTATTTATAATGGTAGGTTGTAAAACATTTTACCTTAATCCAAAAACCGCAGTTCCTACAATTTAGACATTGCACATGGTCATATTATGATTTCAATAATGTTCCAGTTGATTGTACAGTCCTAATATACAATATTTCTGGCAATCTGAACACAGTTTTGTATGCACTAGACTTCTAGCGATGCATCAGTTACCAGTTGGTTGTCATGCCTGTCTCGTCATTTGTTTTTGTCTTTTTGTGGCTTTAAATATGCTCGAGTGACACCCACTTCTTTTAGAGAACATACTATACATGGTAAAATATTTGAAATATTAGTAATTAATACAATGGTCTGAGCTGTACAAACCTCTCCTTAAACCACCTCTACAGCAGGTTAAAATTAAAGGTCAAAAAAGTGACCCATGCAGGAGTTTAAGTAACTTCTACAGCACTAAACTGGCTTCTGACTAAAACACAAGTGAAGCTGTTTACGCCCATCCTAAACCTTAAATTACAGCTAAGCTATTGACCAAGCCCAGCCTGTGCAAACCACTAGTGGTCTTATGAAATAAATAGTGATCAGCTGGATGATATATAAGAGAATAAACTTTTTTCAAAGTGGACTCTGCACCCAGCCTTGCCTGTGCCTTGTGACATGGGGCTGCAGGCCTCTGTAAAAACTGATTAGATCGCACATCTGTGAATGCAAATACAGGCTATATTAAAACAAAAGATGTCATGTGGAATTGCTTAACTAGAGATACACTGAGTAGCCTGGGGGTGTCTGGCCTGTTGGTCAAGGCCATCAATGCTATGCATGTGAAGACTGCATGCTGCTGCTACTTTACTCGTGTTTATATCAAGGCTTGACTAGCGTCTTATACCTGAGTGGAAACAGGGGTGAAGGTTGCAGGAGGTTTTGGTATTTGTGTCACACACATAACGAATCTATAAAGAAAAGTGAAAGTAAAGCAACAAGGCCAGATTCTGTGACTGTTACCTGAAATAATCACAGGAGGCTGCCAGAAGAATACGGTGGGCTTGGATGGGTCGACCCTCCACCACCAGCACAACATCAAACAGGATGCCACTTTGTCTGAGAGCCAGCAGGCCGTCCAGCAGGCTGCGGAAATGGGCTGAACTCTTGTAGGTCTGTCGGCCCGGTCGGCCTGACGATCCGGCGCGTCCTCCCACCGGACTCAGCGCTCCATCCTCCGCCATTGCAGGGCACTGGTGTTCAGGCTTCATCGCGTTTATCTGTCTAGCACTAACGTCATTCTAAGTTTCCTCGGATAGTTGTGAGCTGATGTTAAAGGGACAGAAGTTAAGTCATGCAGGCAAAGTATACAAGAAGAGAAACAGGCTGAGCAGCTAGCGGCTAAAGAAGGGTGGTTACGCTTGCCTTAAATGTCACCTTATAGTCAGTGTAACATTACAGATTTATATCAAGTCACACACACTGTTAACACCATTATTTAATCTGCACAGCTGTCAGAGAGACATTAAAGGATATAGGTAGACACATACGACCTACCGTCGATCTCCTGCTAGCTGCCAAAGCGCTGCTAAGCCCTCAGCGAACGTGAAGTTAGTTTAAACGGTGAGCATCAGCTAGCAGGCTATCAGCTGTTAGCCTGCTAGCTGATGTAACGCACTATACACACAGACAGCTAGACTCTTTAAAAAGCGGAGAGAGAAAAAAAAACGCTGCACGAAAAAGGCTTCGTGCTCGTCAAAAGCAGACTGTTTTACAATAAATGTTTGCTTGCAATGACACCAAATCCTTGAGGAAAAGACGAGCTAGCAGAGCCGCTGATTTTTTGACACATCAAAACAGGTCTGTTTACTTTTTGGTGTCAGGCGGTGAGCTCAAACCCGATTGGTCGCTGCTGTGTTATTGTCCCGCCCCTTTCCTAAAAGGTAGCCAATCAGAGACGTCGATCCATTTCAGGGAGATGATCCTCAGCTTGCCCTTTAATAAAATTAGGTGGTTACAGACAGTAAGTGTAAAGCTGATCATCATCTTACATTTTATCCCTTGTTTAGTTTTTGATTGTTAACACTGATTGAATAAGCCAGTAATTAAACTAATGTTTACATACTGTAACTCTGTCTGTCAAACACAAGAGGATGCTGTTTCCTACTCTAATATCTGTAGGGTCAAGTCATGCAGGCATGTCATATACCAGCACCAGAGGCTGCATTTAATAGATTTACTGTGCACATATTTGCAGTTTTTAAAGTATTACCTAAGAAGGTTACTTGTCTTTTTCTATAACTTTGCACCTCAACCACCACAGTTGAGGGTAAATAATGCACATTCTACTTTATTACATTTTCAGTGGTTCCAGGTATTACACAGACTGATTAACCACACAGCAGTAGTGAAACTAAAGCAGCATAACAACACAATGAAACCAAAAAATACCATGATAATCAAAGAAAAATATTGATGTACTAAGCCTAAACTGATTTTTAGATCATTCACACCAAGTGTTTGTTGTATTTGTCAGTTTTGCCCCTCTATTATTTCATCTCTGTCTGATCAAATGGTTTCCAGATTGATTTCTCACACTTTGATAACTGCAGGAACTGCCAAATAGATTTCCTAAGGCAGCAGCAAGTCATGATGCCTTTTTTTTTTTTTTCATAAATTTATTGTGGCTTCCAAGTTGCTTAGGCTTTACAGTCTCATTCATCTTCTGTCAAGGCTTCAATTTGCATATATCATTTCCTGACATGCAGAGTAGAGATTTTTCCACCCGCAAAAACACGGCTGGAATAATCCATCACTTGATCTATTTTCCAGTCCAATATACATTGCTGTGGAGAGCACAGTGAAAACTGAGAGAGGGGGAGAGAAGGGCTGTTTTTGTGTCCCATGTACAGAGCTGCCCTTTGTAAATAGCAAATCAAAGCTTTTTTGCTTGCTTGTATGTTTCATCTGCATGAAAAAATGTCTTACCACAGAGCCTGTGCATCTCCATGACACACCAAACAAGCACACTACTTGTACACTGCAGACATGTTGCCACTCCATCAGAATCTTTGACAACTAGACCAAAAACACTCAATTACTCAGTTAATCAATTTGTTGTTGGCAGACATCCGTTCAGTTGTCTTATGCCAAAGTGAGCTGACTGTCTTCAGGTGAAGCAGAGCTCGTTGGGCAAAACAAAGGATTTCCTCAGTGATTGTAGAACTTGTGACATTTTCACGATTTTCTACATACCAGTCAATGCATCGGCTAGTTAACAAAGCAATGTGCAGATAAACCAGTCATCAGTCAAATTAATTGTTTATTTTTCCAATTATTCATAAATTGTCAGAAATACTATGATGTTACGTTGTAGGAAAGGCCCCACTTATAACCCAGAAAAATATTGAATTCCTCAGACAAAAAAGGTGATGCTGAAAGCAATAATGCCTTTTAATTGCCTTTCATTTTAAGTTAGTGATGTAATGTCAAAAAAAATCTCTTTTAATTTCAAAACACAAGGTGTCAAACCCTTTAAACACATTGCACACATCACAGGCAAACACACATTTACTTAGTCCTTTTCATATATTGCTTGCTGTTTAAGGTCACATTATGACAGCAGACAATGAGTAATAATATGTATATGAGCTTGTTCTTGTTGAAGTGATGTCAGTCAGTGTGAAAGACTGAAATTGTGATTCGTACTGGACCTTCCTCGAGGTCACAGAGATCCTGATTTGGTCATTACTTAGAGTACAGCATCCCAGTACAATAGCAGTGGAGCGTCTTCTTTCATCAGAAGAAGGTTGTGCAGAAGGCATATCATTACCTGGAGGAAGACAAACAAATGAACACAAAGCAGGGAGCATTTACAGAATTAACTGTCAATCTATGTAGCAAACAGACCTGAAAAAGGAAACGTTGTGTACAGCAGTTACAAAGACATGAAATAGCATGGTCCATGACCTTGAGCTTTTCTAAGCATCCCTCTTACATGAATCCTGCAATCAAACTTAACCTTCATTCACATAATTATTGAACGAGACCATCTTATGTGGCCATTGCAGACAGGTATGTGTGCTTTGGGCACAAAGCGCTCTAACAAGAAACAGTGCTGCACAGGAGGCTGACAAAAAAAAAAAGAGTGTATCAGCCATGCTCCACAGCATGGTTCCTGTGTGTTTCATCTGATAAGAGAAGAAACTGGCAGGCCAAAGGACAATACAGCTGATTGGGTTGGGACAGCAGAGCTCCAGTGGTGCCATTCATCCGGCATGCACCCCATCTAAGATTGTTTCCATGCCAACTGCCTGCCATTTTTAGTTTGGCACATACTAGATTAAAAAACAAGATTTGACAGGCAAAGTGTGGCACAAAAATACGAATTTTTATTGCACACTTACCTTGGCTGTGCTTGGCACACGAGAGGAGAAATCTTAGTGAAGTGTCTTTCTATATGAATGAAATGAAATGAATGAAAAATACTTTATTT